GATCAGCTCAACGTTTTGCAATGTGAGTTCATCCATTCCTTTCGTACAGGGTCACAATTACACACAACAAACACAGAGGCAAGAGTCAGTGTAATCACTTATTGGTAAGTGATGTGTTTTGAATTATGAGTCGACGCTCAAAGTTTTTTAACAAGAATTAATTCAACTCAGATGAAAGAAAATCGAGGGTCAGTCTGTCTCTCATAACTTCAAAGTCTTACATAGCGTAGCGTGACCAAAACTTACTTCATCACACTCTAAGCAAACTGAATGTTTTTCAGACCTAAAAAGAAGCAAAATAGGTAACCTTTTTACGAAACGATTGAGACCAGATGCTAACTAGTACGCATCAAAAATTTAGTCCAACTATTGTCCTCGTATTGCTTCAGTATAATAAAAGCGCATCGGATATTTAAGGGCATGTTTCACAGTTGACGATGATAAACAAGCATCAGATATGATAAAACCAGCTCACTTATAACTATTGGTATGCTTTTTAGGTGGGGCTACTCTTGACAGCATAATTCCCCGTTCAGTAAATATGCTCCTCAGTGCGTCATGCATTTATTACGCCATCGTATCTCGAACAATACTGATAAAGAGCCAATTTAAGGCCATCATGTCTGAAGATCGCGCTCACGAACGCCGGATATGAACGCGTCGACAATCAAGTTTTTTTGATCTTGGTCACCGCATGACTTATGGAATCGGAAGACCTGAATAACGTTATTATGACGTTATGGATGCCAAGGTCACTTTACAATGTTCTCCGCGATATACCTTCCCCATCTTCGTGGGCATGTAGTTCAGAAACTAGAGGGGCTTAGGCTTTAAGAAGGGCAGGGTTGCAAACGGCACCGAAATGGCATAAAGATGGCTATTTCAAGTTTAAAGCTCCATATAAATGTGGGCTGCTTCTTTTTACCCTTCAGCTATCGTCAGATACATGGGAGTCCTCAGGACTGGATAATGGTTGACCATCAGTAAGGTATGCGTGACAGCCCGACGTAGTTTTTGTGAACGGAATTTTCTTCATCTGATTCGAAAGCAAAATATTCTCAACTCCATGTAGCAAGTTGGCCGTGACTCGTAACGGCTGACAGCCAAGCGTCACCCAGTTCTACTCAGGACCCCATAACACCGGACGACAGCCGGAGAGTCAACTGGTCGGAACGTTGTGTGGGTACTACTACACCAGACGGGAATAACAGCTAAAAAATTTCTCCCATCTGAAAAAATCCCTTGAAAATAAGTTCCTCGCACGATTCATAGCACGGCCCAAGCATAGTCAAATAGTTCTGATATCCTACCTCAGGTGAGGGCGTACATTTAGCACTTCAGCTGTTATTCACAAAACCATGTGAGCTTTCGATCCCAGGAGTTTTCATAATATAGATCGTAATCTCATGATAAAGAACCATTTTTGACCATAGGTGACATGCTATGAGGCCAACATCACCTGAAGTGTGATGCAGATAAATGATGCAACACGCAGACACATCACCATGCGGACGTCATCACACCCTATCAGTCCGTGTGGTGCGAATGACGTCTAACATACGATGCTAGCGACTGCAATAGTGTCATTTTGATAGAAAACAGGCAACCAAGCATAACATGACAGCATCAACCAATTTTTCACACCACATCCTTCTGGTCTCATTTAAGCATGCTACAGGACATAGCTCGCCAGCGTCATTTGTTTCAGAATTATGCCGCATAAAACAATGGGAGGCATGCACGAACTCGCGATGAGCTATGCGGGTACATGCGACACATTTGCATCAAGTCAGGAGTTTTAATATGCTAAAAGCCTAAAAAAACCAACCGTAGCATTTGCAATACAAAAACTTTACTCGAGCCAACTTATTCGTTTTTTTTTTGACGGTGAAATATCAATCAGATATCACAATGCAATGTAACACAAAATGTGAGAAATACTCAACATACAACGGCATACGGGCAACGCCACGTTTTCTATCTCGTGACTCCACCCTCCCTCGTTACCAAGGTCACGGCAGTGGTCTGCTATAAAACCGCGCCACTCGGTGCTCACGGCATCAGTCGACAAGACGGAGTACGCAGACATGAAGGTCAGTAATCCCTCTCGTTCACTGTACATTGTAAGTATGCGTGGAATTAACTAGCAACTCTCATTTGAAAGGTACTGGCATGGTACAACTGTACTGCTGGCGAAAACCTTCAAGTAAAATATGAATGGAAAAAGGAAAGAAGTAACCTATTGTAATTTGTTTCCTGCAGGTATTCATCGCCGCCGCCCTCCTGGCCGTGGCCGCCGCCGCTCCTGCCAACAGCTACGCCCCGCAGCCGGCGTACTCTCATGGCCCGAGCAACCACCAGTCGTCCTACAAGGAGCCGGACCACTACGACACGCCCTACCAGTTTGATTACGCTGTCAACGACCACTACTCTGGTGCCGTCTTCTCCCAGAACGAGAACAGCGACGCCAAGAAAGTCAACGGCTACTACTCGGTCAACCTGCCCGACGGCCGTACCCAGCACGTCAAGTACGTCGCTGACCACGACGGCTACGGAGGCTACAACGCTGAGGTGACCTACACTGGCGAGCCCGACTACGAGGAGCACAAGCCCAGCTACCACCCGGCACCGGCCTACAAACCCGCTCGCTCTTATGCCCCGACCCCGGCCTACAAGCCTGCTCGCTCGTATGCCCCTGCCCCGGCGTACAAGCCTGCTCGCTCTTATGCCCCTGCGCCGGCCTACAAGACCAAGTACTAAACACCTAGTGCTTTCTGGTGTTAGAACCTATTTATAATATGCAGCGAAATTGCTCTCGTGGAGTCTTATATCAAGTGTTGTGATGATAAAAGCAATACATTGGTGCACAAGAGAACGGACGTTTTCGTGACTACAAGAGTAGAGGGATCGACCGAATCCCAACGGAAATGCAGATGATCCGGAGACCCCGGCCCCTCCACCGCGGCAGAGACACCCACATGTTAATACCGTTATTAGTTACTGAAACGTTTAAGGCTGTGGCACCCCCAGCTAATAAGTTTGGAACATGGAACAAACTTGCAGCGTAACCACAGGGGAAATAAATTTACCATTGCTACTCTCATCGTGCATCTATCAGTATGAGTAATCAGCTATTATTATCACATTCAAGAATGCATCAGATACGATGATATGACGTCAGTTATACTTGTCGGTATAATTTCAACCCAAAAAGATAACACTAGACAGCACAGTTTCTCTGCTGAGTCAATGCGCTCCTGTATACGCGGTTGTTGTATGTCCTCGTACCTTGTACAACATTGATTGAGAGCCAGTAAACAGCAGTTGTATTTGGAAATCGTACTAACGAACGCAAAATATGAGCGACTCGACAGTTCTATTTTTCTTGGCCTACCTCAAAGAGAATCGACTCATGGATTGCTTAAATGAATGTGCTGCATTTCATAACCAGCGTGGCTTCCAGAAAAAAACAGAAGCACATGTATGCTCTTCACGCTTAAAGGGAATATCCCACGTTTGAAGAGATTTAGGCAACCATTAGATATGATGAAACAGGCTCACTTATGTGTTGATATAGTTCTACGTCGAAAACCCCGTTCTAAACAACACAGTATTGCTTTTTAGTAAGTATCCCCTATTATGCGTCGTTGTTTCATTACGTCATCGTGCTTTTAAAGTGTGCCATCTATTTTACGAGATTTATAACCAAAAATGTGTAGCTGGTGTACATTAAAGAAGAGAATCAATATTACCAGCACCAAAAGCTACTTTGGATCAAAGCGTCCTTTGATAGCATGTTCGGGTTCATTAGAAGCTTCGGTGATATGCTCTTCGTTAAGGGATGTACTCCACATTTGCATAGGGATTTGAACTGAAACAGTCGTGTTGAGTTTCGTTCGGTTCAGTTCAAAGCCCTGCCCTTCTTAAGACCTAAAAAAGTTTAGTTTCGGAGCTAAACGCCCACGAAAATGTGCAGATTATTTCGGGGAGGCTATTTCAAGGACACCCAGGAATCCATGACATCATGAAAGTTCATTGAAATCCTATCATTCTATTGGCTATGCGGTGAGCAGTGCCAATAAAAATATAATTGCTTCTTCGCTCATATCTGGCGTCCGTGAGTACGACATCCAGATATGACCGCCGTCACTAAGCTCCCAATCAGTGTTGTGCAAAGCACGACGACGTAATCAAACAATGACGCATGCATATAATACTCCCCTAATACCCCCCAAAATACACCCCTGGTATTCATACAGGACAATGCAGAGCATACGTTATCAGCTTACGGAGAAGCTGGTATGGTGATTCCCCGAGGCTCTTTCCAGAGCGCAGTCCCTATAAATCTGCAGGTAAATGATCTACCATCACTTACCTCTAATATGACGTCTCTATTAAATCAGTGTCCAAGAATTGTCTACTTAAGGTGAAAAGCAACGCCTTATGAGGAGTAATTTTTCACTCCTTTTCCCCATAATTTGTGAATTTTCCACTTCTACCTGATGTTGTTAACCGTGCTTATCAAACCCATATTTCCTTTTCCGAGGCCTTAAGATGTCATCCAAAACCAACCTCACTTGAAACAATCAAGCATCAACAAGATTCCAAAGAACCTCGACACCTATGGCTGTATCCCGCCTCGTCTATATCTAAATCTTGTCTACGCATAAAAAGGGTAAGAGCACCAGGCACCTTCAAGCCCGACAGCCCAAGCGACTCCAGCCGCTTGCATGCATCAAGTTTGGTTTGTTTACAAAATGCATCACAAGTTACAGCCGTGTGCCGAACGCATGGTTTTCACGCATCCGAATTTTTTTCGTCGCACCACGAGAGAACTACACCACCAAAACAACGCCCGGTACAAACACCTGCATGGCCTGGTAGGGAACTTAACTCCACATTTATATTTTACCCAAAAAAACTTGACCACTGGATTGCACCACTCCCGAGATGCAGGAGTGAAAGTTCTTTGCAAAATGTTCCAACTGCAACGTAGTACATATTTCATACAGCAACTGGATTAATTCGCCAGCCGCCAAAACATGCTTGATATGCTCCCAGGAGTGAACAATTCATAGACGATGCATGAGACAATTTAAAGCAATGAACATAGTTGCGGCATAACTTTTGCCCAGTTTAACTCTCAGGTAGCCGGGTTTTTGTTTAATGGCGGTGCTCAAAAGTGATAAATTTAAGCCATTCAGGCTCACTATCCGTCACGGTACATTATCCTAGCGTGCGTGGCTTTGGGACAGATCTGGCGGGGCTAATACAGAAGTGTTTGGTAGCGAAATTCTGCATTATCATGGAGACCAGCTCTTACTTTTGCGTTTTAATCTTATAGGTTTGTGGGCATGATTGCTATTTATGTTGTATGGGTGAGTTGAATGACCCTGTCTGTCACCAAACCATGCGAAAGACCATTTGTTTGGGGGGGAGCGGAAAGAAGCGTGCCCTGGAAAAGTCAAGAAAGTTCTCCGATGGAACAACTCATTGCCAACACTGCGTGCTTTCAACACATGATTTGTAACCAGACATAGTCATTGTCTATTTTAATTCATCAAGTTTTCTTCATCAGACAATTATGATAAAACAAGGCACGTAACTGAGCTATTTTCTTCCATACTTTCAATTATTCGCCTCATATTCGTTGAAGTGATCTCTCGTCTTAATTGCATGGGAAGTGGCAGCAAAAATTTTGCAAGAATTAGTGATTCACAAATGCTGCTGCGACACAAATAGGTTAGGCAGGGTGAATTGAGGCAAGGCTTCTTCAGGTTAGGCATTGTCACGTTACTTTCGTGGACATACGTATTGGTATTTTGCAAAAAACAGTAACATAATATTTGTATGTCCCGACCCCATCTTAACAGAAGCCAGAGGAACGCCTGATGTGTTTCAGTTCACGTGCTGATGTGCAGGGGTCAAAAGATTTTTTGTTTAAATACTTGATGCTTGTTGAAGTCTTTGTTGTTGTTTTTGTTTTTAATTTCTTTGCTTTATTCTATGTTGAAATATCCTGTGAAAGGAAAGTGCAAAGTGCAGCATCAAAACACTGGTCCTATATGGTTTTTGATGACCACAACACTGCTACGAAATAGCTATTCTTTAATGTATTCTGTTTCACTATAATGACCTAAGATGTTAAAAACACAAGCGATTTTGTGATGTTCATGATATATCGTCCATGCATACTTAAAATGTATGTCTTTGTTTTCTGGAGCTATCTTACTGACCAAAAAGTTCCAACTTTTGTGACTTGAATTTCTCACTCCCGCACGGTCTTTTTGCGATGGAATTTTTCATTCCTAGGCTGCTTCAACGATTCTAGCTCACAGCAATACATCGAAGACACTACTATCATGTCAAAACACAATAATTTAAATGGCCCGCAGAAACAAGTAAACTCCTCTTTCAGAGTCATCAAGGAATGGTTGGCAGGGTCGCAACGGTCGGAATTGAAAGAACAACAAAAATTGTTGCGATAGGCTCACCCAAGAGGACAAACACCGAGGGCTAAAACCAAGGCCATGAAAAAGAGTTTAAGAAATTCGTGCATCATCACTCTGCGGCAACTTGAAGACTCAAAGTGAAAGTCTCCGCAGGAAAAATCTGATCTCAAGCAATCCAATGAGTGATGGAAACATGAGACGACAAAACATATTTGGCAAAGAACGTCTCAGTTCGATGACAACGAATGCAGTGACGTTATTTTCATGTAACCTAGCCAACAAACGTAAGCACAACCACATAACCCCTAATGCGCAAAATTTCCTTCTGCTTGCCGCTTCGAGATGTTAAAAGTTTTAGTTGGTTGGTGTCATTAGATTTAAACGTTTTGCCCATATCACAGTGGGATTAATGGAGTAATTCGTGGTGAGTTATACTGATATACGAAAAACATGTCTGTCATATCAAACATTCTGAATGGAAAATATTGAACTATTGTACAACCAAATGACTGTCACTTCAAGAAGTGCACTACAAAGTTTAACCCAAAAGCAATGACTTTTGCTGTACTGTGCGGCATCAAGAAATAAAAAAACACCGCAACCTGGTGTAAAACATGAAGTGGGAACTTCCACATTTACATCTAAATACGAAGAACACCACATATTCGGTCATCAGCCCCGCCCTGCCTCGTTAGCAAGGTTACGATGGAGGTCTACTATAAAACCGCGCCACTCCTCGTTCATAGCATCAGTCGACACGACCAACTCTGCAGACATGAAGGTCAGTAGCCCTGCCGTTCATTGCGTAATCAAAAACGGCCGAAATTAAGTAACGGCTCTCATTTAGTCTGCAGTGTCATAAATTTATACCATTCCAACGCTCGGCAGTTCATGACATTATGAAGCTGAGCGCTACCATATGGGGGAATGTGAATACAAGAAAGGAAAGCCGTAATCTAACGTAATTTGTATTCTTGCAGGTGCTCGTTGCCGCCGCTCTCCTGGCTGTTGCCGCCGCCGCTCCCTCCAACAGCTACGCCCCGAAGCAGGCGTCTCATGGCCCGAGCTACCACCAGCCGTCCTACAAGGAGCCGGACCACTACGACACGCCCCTACCAGTTTGATTACGCTGTACACGACCACTACTCCGGTGCCGTCTTCTCTCAGAACGAGAACAGCGACCCCAAAAATGTCAACGGCTACTACTCGGTCAACCTGCCCGACGGCCGTACCCAGCACGTCAAGTACGTCGCTGACCACGACGGCTACGGAGGCTACAACGCTGAGGTGACCTACACTGGCGAGCCCCACTACGAGGAGCACAAGCCCAGCTACCACCCGGCACCGGCCTACAAACCCGCTCGTTCTTATGCCCCGGCCCCGGCCTACAAGCCTGCTCGCTCGTATGCCCCCGCCCCGGCGTACAAGCCTGCTCGCTCTTATGCCCCTGCGCCAGCCTACAAGACCAAGTACTAAACACCTAGTGCTTTCTGGTGTTAGAACCTATTTATCATATGCAGCGAAATTGCTCTCGTGGAGTCTTATATCAAGTGTTGTGATGATAAAAGCAATACATTGGTGCACAAGAGAACGGACGTTTTCGTGACTACAAGAGTAGAGGGATCAACCGAATCCCAACGGAAATGCAGATGATCCGGAGACCCCGGCCCATCCACCGCGGCAGGGACACCCACATGTTAAAACCGTTATTAGTTACTGAAACGTTTAAGGCTGTGGCACCCCCAGCTAATAAGTTTGGAACATGGAACAAACTTGCAGCGTAACCACAGGGGAAATAAATTTACCATTGCTACTCTCATCGTGCATCTATCAGTATGAGTAATCAGCTATTATTATCACATTCAAGAATGCATCAGATACGATGATATGACGTCAGTTATACTTGTCGGTATAATTTCAACCCAAAAAGATAACACTAGACAGCACAGTTTCTCTGCTGAGTCAATGCGCTCCTGTATACGCGGTTGTTGTATGTCCTCGTACCTTGTACAACATTGATTGAGAGCCAGTAAACAGCAGTTGTATTTGGAAATCGTACTAACGAACGCAAAATATGAGCGACTCGACAGTTCTATTTTTCTTGGCCTACCTCAAAGAGAATCGACTCATGGATTGCTTAAATGAATGTGCTGCATTTCATAACCAGCGTGGCTTCCAGAAAAAAACAGAAGCACATGTATGCTCTTCACGCTTAAAGGGAATATCCCACGTTTGAAGAGATTTAGGCAACCATTAGATATGATGAAACAGGCTCACTTATGTGTTGATATAGTTCTACGTCGAAAACCCCGTTCTAAACAACACAGTATTGCTTTTTAGTAAGTATCCCCTATTATGCGTCGTTGTTTCATTACGTCATCGTGCTTTTAAAGTGTGCCATCTATTTTACGAGATTTATAACCAAAAATGTGTAGCTGGTGTACATTAAAGAAGAGAATCAATATTACCAGCACCAAAAGCTACTTTGGATCAAAGCGTCCTTTGATAGCATGTTCGGGTTCATTAGAAGCTTCGGTGATATGCTCTTCGTTAAGGGATGTACTCCACATTTGCATAGGGATTTGAACTGAAACAGTCGTGTTGAGTTTCGTTCGGTTCAGTTCAAAGCCCTGCCCTTCTTAAGACCTAAAACAGTTTAGTTTCGGAGCTAAACGCCCACGAAAATGTGCAGATTATTTCGGGGAGGCTATTTCAAGGACACCCAGGAATCCATGACATCATGAAAGTTCATTGAAATCCTATCATTCTATTGGCTATGCGGTGAGCAGTGCCAATAAAAATATAATTGCTTCTTCGCTCATATCTGGCGTCCGTGAGTACGACATCCAGATATGACCGCCGTCACTAAGCTCCCAATCAGTGTTGTGCAAAGCACGACGACGTAATCAAACAATGACGCATGCATATAATACTCCCCTAATACCCCCCAAAATACACCCCTGGTATTCATACAGGACAATGCAGAGCATACGTTATCAGCTTACGGAGAAGCTGGTATGGTGATTCCCCGAGGCTCTTTCCAGAGCGCAGTCCCTATAAATCTGCAGGTAAATGATCTACCATCACTTACCTCTAATATGACGTCTCTATTAAATCAGTGTCCAAGAATTGTCTACTTAAGGTGAAAAGCAACGCCTTATGAGGAGTAATTTTTTACTCCTTTTCCCCATAATTTGTGAATTTTCCACTTCTACCTGATGTTGTTAACCGTGCTTATCAAACCCATATTTCCTTTTCCGAGGCCTTAAGATGTCATCCAAAACCAACCTCACTTGAAACAATCAAGCATCAACAAGATTCCAAAGAACCTCGACACCTATGGCTGTATCCCGCCTCGTCTATATCTAAATCTTGTCTACGCATAAAAAGGGTAAGAGCACCAGGCACCTTCAAGCCCGACAGCCCAAGCGACTCCAGCCGCTTGCATGCATCAAGTTTGGTTTGTTTACAAAATGCATCACAAGTTACAGCCGTGTGCCGAACGCATGGTTTTCACGCATCCGAATTTTTTTCGTCGCACCACGAGAGAACTACACCACCAAAACAACGCCCGGTGCAAACACCTGCATGGCCTGGTAGGGAACTTAACTCCACATTTATATTTTACCTAAAAAAACTTGACCACTGGATTCCACCACTCCCGAGATGCAGGAGTGAAAGTTCTTTGCAAAATGTTCCAACTGCAACGTAGTACTTATTTCATACAGCAACTGGATTAATTCGCCAGCCGCCAAAACATGCTTGATATGCTCCCAGGAGTGAACAATTCATAGACGATGCATGAGACAATTTAAAGCAATGAACATAGTTGCGGCATAACTTTTGCCCAGTTTAACTCTCAGGTAGCCGGGTTTTTGTTTAATGGCGGTGCTCAAAAGTGATAAATTTAAGCCATTCAGGCTCACTATCCGTCACGGTACATTATCCTAGCGTGCGTGGCTTTGGGACAGATCTGGCGGAGCTAATACAGAAGTGTTTGGTAGCGAAATTCTGTATTATCATGGAGACCAGCTCTTACTTTTGCGTTTTAATCTTATAGGTTTGTGGGCATGATTGCTATTTATGTTGTATGGGTGAGTTGAATGACCCTGTCTGTCACCAAACCATGCGAAAGACCATTTGTTTGGGGGGGAGCGGAAAGAAGCGTGCCCTGGAAAAGTCAAGAAAGTTCTCCGATGGAACAACTCATTGCCAACACTGCGTGCTTTCAACACATGATTTGTAACCAGACATAGTCATTGTCTATTTTCATTCTTCAAGTTTTCTTCATCAGACAATTATGATAAAACAAGGCACGTAACTGAGCTATTTTCTTCCATACCATCAATTATTCGCCTCATATTCGTTGAAGTGATATCTCGTCTTAATTGCATGGGAAGTGGCAGCAAAAATTTTGCAAGAATTAGTGATTCACAAATGCTGCTGCGACACAAATAGGTTAGGCAGGGTGAATTGAGGCAAGGCTTCTTCAGGTTAGGCATTGTCACGTTACTTTCGTGGACATACGTATTGGTATTTTGCAAAAAACAGTAACATAATATTTGTATGTCCCGACCCCATCTTAACAGAAGCCAGAGGAATGCCTGATGTGTTTCAGTTCACGTGCTGATGTGCAGGGGTCAAAAGATTTTTTGTTTAAATACTTGATGCTTGTTGAAGTCTTTGTTGTTGTTTTTGTTTTTAATTTCTTTGCTTTATTCTATGTTGAAACATCCTGTGAAAGGAAAGTGCAAAGTGCAGCATCAAAACACTGGTCCTATATGGTTTTTGATGACCACAACACTGCTACGAAATGGCTATTCTTTAATGTATTCTGTTTCACTATAATGACCTAAGATGTTAAAAACACAAGCGATTTTGTGATGTTCACGATATATCGTCCATGCCAACTTGAAATGTATGTCTTTGTTTTCTGGAGCTATCTTACTGACTAAAAAGTTCCAACTTTTGTGACTTGAATTTCTCACTCCCGCACGGTCTTTTTGCGATGGAATTTTTCATTCCTAGGCTGCTTCAACGATTCTAGCTCAAAGGAATACATGCGAGGACACTACTATCATGTCAAAACACAATAATATAAATGGCCCGCAGAAACAAGTAAACTCGTCTTTCAGAGTCATCAAGGAATGGTTGGCAGGGTCGCAACGGTCGGAATTGAAAGAACAACCAAAATTGTTGCGATAGACTCACCCAAGAGGACAAACACCGAGGGCAAAAACCAAGGCGGTGAAAAAGAGTTTAAGAAATTCGTGCAGCATCACTCTGCAGCAACTTGAAGACTCAAAGTGAAAGTCTCCGCAGGAAAAATCTGATCTTAAGCAATCCAATGAGTGATGGAAACATGAGACGACGAAACATATTTGGCAAAGAACGTCTCAGTTCGATGACAACGAATGCAGTGACGTTATTTTCATGTAACCTAGCCAACAAACGTAAGCACAACCACATAACCGCAAATGCGCAAAATTTCCTTCTGCTTGCCGCTTCGAGATGTTAAAAGTTTTAGCTGGTTGGTGTCATTAGATTTAAACGTTTTGCCCATATCACAGTGGGATTAATGGAGTAATTCGTGGTGAGTTATACTGGCATACGAAAAACATGTCTGTCATATCAAACATTCTGAATGGAAAATATTGAACTGTTGTACAACCAAATGACTGTCACTTCAAGAAGTGCAATACAAAGTTTAACCCAAAAGCAATGACTTTTACTGTACTGTGCGGCATCAAGAAACAAAAAAACACCGCAACCTGGTGTAAAACATGAAGTGGGAACTTCCACATTTACATCTAAATACGAAGAACACCACATATTCGGTCATGAGACCCCGCCCTGCCTCGTTAGCAAGGTTCGATGGAGGTCTGCTATAAAACCGCGTCACTCCCCGTTCATAGCATCAGTCGACACGACCAACTCTGCAGACATGAAGGTCAGTAGCCCTGTCGTTCATTGCGTAATCAAAAACGGCCGAAATTAAGTAACGGCTCTCATTTAGTGTGCAGTGTCATAAATTTATACCATTCCAACGCTCGGCAGTTCATGACATTATGAAGCTGAGCGCTACCATACGGGGGAATGTGAATACAAGAAAGGAAATCCGTAA